TGAAAATATCTTTTGTGATGTAACTCTTTCAAAAGTACATAAAAATGGTTGCCAGCAGGGGTGTACATGTAGATTTATTAAATACACCTTGTGCGCCACCTAGGAACCAAATCTAGAACCCGACACTCAAAATTTTTGCTCTGTTACAATCGTACCCTGTTACAATTGACCCCACTCTCCCCTATCCAATTCATTAAGTCATTAAAGAACTTATGAAACTCTTAAACCTTAAAAACTGTCATTTTAAACACAAAAAAAAAAAAATTCTTTTGAAAACATTATACTATTAAAATCAATTTTAATGAACAAACATTTCTTGAGAATATTACATGTCGGATATAATTTAAGAATTTTCTCTATAGTACGTCCCATATTTTTGAATTGTATAAGTATTAGCAATTTTCGCTATGTGCTTAAAGTTTTGACACAGGCTATATTATCCTTACATTGTATCTTATGCATTTTTCATATTTTTTTCAACAAGTTTCTGATAACATTTTTCAGAATTGCTAAATAAAAGTGTCCTCTTTTTTTCTTCAAATTTATAATATGCGTCTTTCTTGTGGGGATCTTGAATAATAAAATCTCTCGCTTATGCGTTGATAAAACAAACATGTTTTTTAAACTTTGTCCCTAAGAACTTGATTTGCAAATAGTCTATATAACATTCATACTAATACAGTTGGACTTCTATTGAACATAGCCGCTCAATCCCCGAATATAAGTTCGTTATATGGAAAATTCGTTAAGTAGAAAATCACATTTTGAACTACTTAAACGACACAAAACAGGCTTTAAATTCATAAACACTAGGCATAATCAAAAAAGCTATGGATGCACCTTTATCTTGTAAACTAGTATCTACTATTTATTTTATAAATCTTAATCGTACAAGAACAGAGCAAAACATTATCCAGTGTTATACTATCATACTACATATATTTTCAACTAAACAATTTTACTTTTATGCATATAATTATATCTCCCTTTATTATAAAAGTAATTTTAAACTACATTACCACTACATTTTCGTTTGAAATGCAAACAAAAAGGGAAAAAGGTTTCTGTAAAAGTTAAATGGCTTCGAAAATCAATTCAAGGCCCCCATAAAATTCGTTAAGAAGTTTGAAATATATATTCCGAAATATTTTGGGAAAGTGGATCTCGAAGAAAAGTTCGTTCAATATAAAAATTACTTTGCTATTTGGAAGTTATTTTACGAAGAAATTTCTAAAATGTTCTTGGTTCCTCGAAAAAAAATCGCATAATAGAGGAATTCGCAAAATAGAAGTTCGTTACATATAAGTTCGATTGTATTTCCTTTAATGATTTAAGTTTGGTTTTTATGAGAATCGACCTTATTCATTTAAAGATAAGGTTTTGGTGAAATGAAAGAAGAGAAATCAACGAAAGAAGGACGTCAGAAAATTCTCCTGTGGAACAAAATTTACGATATGTTCCATTCCTAAAAAAAGTACCTGCGATCAGTTTGAATTTATTCTTTATCAGCTGTCTTTACAAAAGAGAGTTAACAAAAAGAAGTTTTAAAAGTAGAACTTTTTTAGAACTATTCAATCTAAAAGCTCTCTCGTCGCTTGTTTGAACTGGCTCAAATGCTGCATTTCTCTAAACTTTTGCTGAGAGATGTTTTCTCTCTTTTTTCTAATCTGCTTTTTCAAGAGAAGCAATTGTTTCAAACTCCATTTTGATAATTTCATACCTAAATGGACCTAATGTCATAATGACAGAAAATTAAATTGAATAGTAATGACCACGCTTGTTCATTTCTCATAGGCCTCTTATATGTATTCATTTTTATATCATTTTGTTCAAATCTAAAACTGGTGCATATTTTAAGATTTTTTATCTCGGTGCAATACAAATGAAAGTTTTTTTTATATAGTTTTAGAGAAATAGGAGCACTATTAAATTCATTCATGAACACCTATTTTTAAAACAAAAATCTCACTTCACTACTTTGATTTCAATTCAAATAAAAAGTAAGTTTTACTGTTTTAAATTACTAATAAATCATTCTCAAGTATACACATTTGTTATTGTTTTATTAATAATAAGCCAAATTTATTAATAGTAAGCCTATAGATATTTTAAACTTCCATGAAATAGGCTTATGAATTTCCTTTCATACTGTTACTTTCAGCTGCATCTAAACAAGATAAAATCATTATTTAGGTTCATTTCTAATAAACGCGAATATTTGAAAAGCTTATTGGAACAAAACTTTAAGGTATATAAATATGTTGAGATCAATGTCGGTTATTATTAATACAAACCGGTCCATATGAATAATAACCAAACAAGCCGGTGAGTCATTTAAGCGAATTTATCACCTTCATATTAATAGCAACCAATGGTCATTCCCTCACGTTTTTACTGAGGATATTTCCGTGATCTGCCAACTGTAATCATCATCAAGGATCCAAATTGATCTTAGACTGGAAATGTATGTTTGTACTGGCTTCGAATTATTGAGTTGGTCCTTTTTTGATGTTCTTTTTTTTAAAGTTTCTCGTGAGCCCAGATGTAGGCAAGACTTGGCGATTATTCTGCCGCATATACTTCCCTTTTTATCTCTCACTGGCTAAAAGAAGCGGTTATTGTTAATTTTGCCCGGTTAGTATTAATAATAGACGCCCGGTGACTGAGCGGTAGCCCTTCGCGCTGTCGAGCCACAGGTCCCTGGTTCGATCCTGGGGCCGGGCAAGGTTGACTCAGCCTTTCATCCCTTCAGTGGGTCGATAAATGAGTACCAAGCATGCTTGGGAACTAAACACTGGGGGTTCCGCGTTCGGCTGACCACCTGACCGGAACATCTGCTCCTGCACCCCAGAGCCCAAGGTCAAGAAAACTGAGATGGGCACAGTTGGCTTTGGCCCTCTATGGGCTGTCGCGCCACTGAGTTTAGTTTTTTAGTATTAATAATAACTGACTTTATTATCACTTTAACCGTGACACATTTACAAAGAAGCACACCCATCTCCCAATATAAACTGTTTAATCACATTGACCAAACTTCATTGGTTATCATTAATAATAACCGATTACAGTGAATAATTTGCAATTTTTGACCAAAAGAAGCGATTATTAATATTGACCGGTTAGTATTATTGATAGCCGGATTTGTTACTTTAACCGTAACATA